AAATTATTCCCTAAGACAAACTTCTCGTAAACGGAAAAACTGCTCCACGCTTTACGAGGCGACTATGGCGACAGCCAAATGAGCTATGAATTTAAGACGTAAACAGGAAAAAATGTTCTTAGATTAGAATCGACTATTAATATGGAGCATTTCGCTGACTGGTGTACTAGCCAATTTATAATTATCTTGAAGGCAAGAGTGGGCTTCACGGAAACTTCCGACCAAGATAAGCCAGAGAATTCGAATACGCAGTTTCAGATACTTTAGTTTTACGTATTTGGAGAAATGGCTTCCCTATATAAGCTACTAATATCTCTATGACGTCACCGCTTTTTTTTAAAGGGGAACAACAAGTAGAATGGTAAAGAATAATAAGGTTTTGATCCTATTTTACTTTGAAACTGAAATTAGAGCTCTGATATGTCAGGGCCCAGTTGTTCAAAGCCCGATTAGTGCTAATCCTGGGTTAACAATTAATAAGACGGCTATCGAGTTAATCTTGGATTAGCGCTAATCCAGCTTTGAACAACTAGGCGCCCCTGGTTTTCAAACATTTTTTTAACTGGTGTTTTTTCTAAGTTCTAATCAAAAATACTATTTTTAGCATTTTTTTTCCCTTGCTGTTTTTTTTCCCTTCCAACGACCATATCTCTTAGCGTTAAAACAAAAGACTGTTTTTATGTGACGTCGAAGAAAAGTAAAATATTTTGACATTTTTACAACACAAAGAAGAATCCGGGGGTTGGATTTAATGGGAAGTCATTCTGATTGAGATTTTTAAAAATGAACTGAATGTAATATAAAATTTAAACAGGGAGCTATACTAGCTTTTTCAAAACAGCCACCCGCCAATGAAATTATCTTTGGAGTCGCCTTTGCAGCACAAAACCTCTTAATCTTTTTGTTAGTATAATTGTTGCTAATGGTTATTTCTGGCAAAAGAAGAAACTAGTGTAATAAAGAGACAAAGGAAATAAGTGAGGGAAAAAAAAAAAAAAAAAAAAAAAATTAAACGGAATGTTTTCGGACCTAAAAATATTGCTCACTTCAAGGACCTTTCAGACGACATGTCTGAGACACCTAATTGGGTTTTTCATAGCAAGAGTAAACACAGGCATTAACTAAAGAAGGAAAGAAAGAATCAGTAAATCCATGAATCAAACAAGAGAGAAAGAGGGTGAGGAAGAGAGAGAGAAAGAAGAAGAGGGAGAGAAACTCAGCTTCTAAATCATCAAGCACAACACAACCACGCTTCTAAGCATCAAAACCTCTTCATTTGTCAAGAGCTTCAAGAGCTTCAAATTTAGAATAGACCAGTTTCGAATTCCAAATTACCGCTGTGTTCCTTGATCACAGACTCATTTGCACAGGGTTAACCTCGTATCAGTGTTTAAATATTCACAAATACCAACAGAAAAGTAAAGAATGCACAATTTCAACAATACAAACATTTTGAAACTCGACGGACCTTGACTGGAACATGTGAATATTTTGCACAAACTCGAGGCTAACCCTTTGCAAACGAGTCTGTAATCAAGAAACACAGCGGTAATTTGGAATTCGAAAAGGGTCTATTTCGTTATCACAAGGTTCAATATATATTTGCTAAGACAGGTGCATGGTGTTCGTGACCACCAGCACGTTACATACGCGATAAGTCGTTCGTTTTGGTCTAAATATATACAATAGAACAGAAATATAAGAAGTACACTCTAACTGCCTGAAAACAATTGTTTCACGACGACGACGACGACGACGACGACGACGACGACGACGACGACGACGACGACGACGACGACGACGACGACGATGATGATGATGACGATGATAAAATTGGATGATGGTGATGGTGATGATGATGATGATGATGACGACGACGATGATGATGATGACGATGATAAAAACACATTGTCTTTTGAAATAACATTGAATCCTTAATTAGTATTTTTGGTCATTTATTATTCAAAATGCCGGAATATTATATGTCGATGATAAAAACACATTGTCTTTTGAAATAACATTGAATCCTTAATTAGTATTTTTGGTCATTTATTATTTAAAATGCCGGAATATTATATGTCGATGATAAAAACACATTGTCTTTTGAAATAACATTGAATCCTCAATTACTATTTTTGGTAATTTATTACTTAAAATGAATGTTATTAATGTCGAGCTATTATCAACGGCCGTTATTGGTGCCTGATTAAACTTTAGCTAAAAGCACTCAAACTGAAGAAGGCAATGAGAGTACCGAATTCGATATAGCTGTATTGATCAATGATAAATAAAGTCATAAAACGCTTGTTTAAACGCCTTGAAGTAGTGTTTAATAAACGAGCAGGAGTGTTTTATCGGGTATAAAAACACGAGGCGTAGCCGAGTGGTTTTAGACCCGATAAAACACGATCTGCGAGTTTATTAAACGGCTTCAAAAACTTTAAGAATAATTCACAAACCTTTCAGTTGAAGTAGAGCAACCATATACCTCGCGAACATTGACTTTTATACTTTGATAGTCGTTTGTACAGCAATGTCATGCGCAGTGAGGTTTATACGTCACTGCCATGCGCAGTAAGTGCAAATAAGGCTCCCACAAGTTGAAGACAACATGCCGAACTCAAGACGATAATTTATGGGTCGTCGATGATCGTACGTGAGACTGACCTTGATGAGGCTCTAAGTCTTCTTATCAAACTCATGAATAATTCATGAGGAAAACACAACAGAAATCACGACCATGAAGAGTGTTGTAAATCTGATACAAAACTGTGTTCATTTGCATAAACTTTAAGTTGGATTTTCTTGGCCAAATTCACTTTAATTTTGAAAATTTTAGTGAAACACAAAGGAACTAACCTAGACATTTGATAAGTCATATACAATATTCGTGTCCGTGTTGTATCAGATATACAATCACTCGGCTACGCCTCTTGGTTGTATATCTGATACAACACGGCCACTCATACTGTATATATTACATCGAAACTTGGATGCACCTTTATTCTGATAAGGTTGTCCACATTAGTATTCTTTATATAAAGAATACTAATAAGGATGAGTCTTTATATAAAGTTTCATCCTCATTGGTATTCTTTATTTCTGAAGAGGACTTTATCTGGTACAAAGGTCCATGCACGTGACGTGTATGGCGGGTCCAATTGGACGAATACCTAATGAATTATTCATGAGTTTTTGAACAATTAATAATTGTGTCTTTCAAAATGTACCTTTCAAAATGGCGCAGGGAACTGTGAAGAGGACTATTCGCAAATTTCTTACCATAAAGGTGCTTCACGGATATATGGTATGAACTCTATGCAACTTTTTTTAGTGACGTAATATTTCAAAATGCGCTACGCGCGCCGTAAATTATTTGCAGAGTACAAATATCGCATGATATTTGTACTCGCTCCAGGCTTCCTCCTGCGCTATTTGTACTCTACTGAGTCACCTGATGAATATAAATGAAGGCTATTTAAGCACCGATTCGATATTTCACGCATGCGCAAAAACTGAGCTTAAATGATTGGAAATCATTGAACTTCGGAACATATCACCAAGTTTCATTCAAGAGCTTGCAAAAAATCCAAGAAGAAAATCAAGAAATATAGATAGTTAATAATAACAGCTTAGGCTTCCTCAAGTGGTTTCAAAATATTTGTTCAAAATCAAAGTGAGGAACTCGAGATTATTTTCAAAAAAAAAAAAAAAAACATCTTAAAGTCATGTTTAAAAGAATACCACATTGTCGATGGATATTCATATTGATGGGAGACGGGAAGCTTAAACATCGGAAGTAGTAAATTAATGCAGTTATAGGCATTCTGTGTTATTTTTCGGAATAGTAAATAATTTATAATAGTAAATTGGAGCGACCATAAACGTCACGGGCCTGGACCTTCAAACCCCATAAAGTCCTCTTCATTAGTATTCTTTATGTACAGAATACTAATGAGGATGAAACCTTCATAGTTTTCTAAGTAATATACACCTACTTGCAAGAATGTTGTCATACGAAAATAGAACATTAGTGATATAGGAATTATATTAAAAAACAAAAGAAGATCACTGAAGCTGAACTTTTTCTTTTGTCTTTTAATGTATTCCTTTCTCACTAAATTACTAATGTTCTCATATTGTATGACAACGTTCTTGCAAGTAGGTGTATACAGTATGAGTGGTCGTTTTGAACGCGGTAGTTCTCATACTCATTAATAATTCATGAGTAAACCAGCCAATCAATGGGCTATTTTTGGGTCACATGATGTTACTTGAAACCTGGTAAAGTCCTGTGAAAGGACTGAATTCATTTTGTTCAAGTCCTTGGACTGAATCAAAATTAATTCAGTTCAGGAACATACCTGTCCCTTAAGTCTTTCAATCCTAAACAAATAACCTCCCGAATTATTAATGAGTCTGAGAAGTCATTTCACTCATTGTCGGCTTTGAAATATTACATATAGATTCGAGCCGAAGACGAGGATCTTTATCTCCGATACAAAACGACCACGAATTTTCTAAATTACTTCTAAAACTCAGTGTTCTATACGTTCCAGTTGAATAGGCAGTGAGCACTTATTCATCAGCACAATCAGACCCGAGTTTTTTTTATCGGGTATATAGTTTAATGCATGTGACCCATTTGCTTCATCTGATTGGAGTAAATGCTCATGAATTATTAATGCGTTTTAGAATGAACTTTCTAGCAATTTCTTTTTTTCTTTCTTTCTTTCTTTCTTTCTTTCTTTCTTTTTTTCTCTCTTCCCCTTTTTTAAATTAAGAACATAAAAACAAAATAACAATTGTCAAGTTACATTATATGCAGCTGAGACACCTACTTCCTCAAATCTAAGGACAAGTGATACCGAACCGACAGAGAATCACCAAAATTGCTTTWAAAAATCGAGTCTTCGAATCAGGCAAACCAGTTAATCTTACAGTATCTAATCATAATATTAAAAATAAATATTAAAAAAGTAATATATTGATGAACTTACATGGTGAAGAAAACACTCCAGATGATCTTAGCTTTCGAAGAGAAAGACGAACATCAAACCCAAACGTCTGCTAAGGTTCAGTTGCGTAGTTTGAGGAAGTTAAAACTACTAAAGAGATGAATTATTAATGACATTTCAACCACGTTTAGGTTAAATTGAATGATGGTCTTTGAATTATTTGGCTTTTTAGTGGCTGGATGTCGCTTCCTTAAATTGGTTCGCCTATTAGGTGCGTGGATTTTAGTTTAGACTATCGGCTGTATCGCGAGATTGACTGGTGCCTGAAGGAATGGGGTTTCTTTGTCAAAGTGACACTTAGTTTTTAACTTGTATCGATATTTCGCCCTCAGGGGATATACATTAATGATCTAATGGAAGCTGTCAGAACTTTTGGTTTTAGTGATGACATTGAATTAAAGTAACAACTAACTATGAATACATAAATAAAAAGGATGAAAAAGAAAAAGGAGAGGAGAGGAGAGGAGAGGAGAGGAGAGGAGAGGAGAGGAGAGGTTTGAAATAGCTTTATTAGCATGACCTACAATTTACAGGTATTGCTAAAGCATTGAACATTAACAGGGATTTTTTTGTTGTTATATTTTACAAACAAGAAAAAGAAAAAGTAGAGTAGAGTAGAGTAGAGTAGAGTAGAGTAGAGTAGAGTAGAGTAGAGTAGAGTAGAGTAGAGTAGAGTAGAGTAGAGTAGAGTAGAGTAAGAAGAAGCAAGAAATAACGAAGGAAAGATTGTAGCCAGTTGCCTTTTTTTAATCTATCATCATATTCAGTAATCCTTTTTTATTGCTTTACAGATAACATATCTACAGTGTCATTTTAAATATTTATAACCAATAAAAAAAACCCTCTTATTTAAAGAAATTTTTTAAAATTATCTCTTTGTAGTTGTGTTTACCGCTGCGTCCTTGTTAGATGAGACCACAAAAATGGGGGATTGTATTTCATTTTATTTATTTTCTAATTCAAACTTGTCATACAAAATATCACTTTAGTTTAGATTTCATTCGAAATTTCATGAGTCATAACTAAGAAAAATTCCTACAAAATTTTTCTGTTCGATTTATCTACCTTTTCCTTCACTTGCGTCTCTAGAAAAAGGAAACAAACCAAATTTTCTGGACTTTTAGCATTTTTAAGGGTAGCAGTTAGACCTCTCTCAGTTATACCTCGCTAAAACTCCTAGATCCATTAGGACCATAAGGCCAATCCAATCCGTTTTCAAAAATATCCTCGTTTTGGGCAGGGCCTAAATTCTAGCACGATACCAAGACTCTAGAAAGATTTTTTTCGATATAGCATTAAATCTCAAAAGGAGCGGTAGATGTATAATCTGTGATCAGACAGGTTGAAAAGGACCTCTGTCCCGGGGGGGGGACTCCGGGAAAAAAGTACCGGGGATGCTCGTCGGAAATGTCGGACCCCTAAAAGCTACCGAAAGTCTTTAAAAAAGGGCTTGGAAAGATACCAAATCGCGAATTTTTACACCTAAGAGATACGACGAGCATCCCCGGTACTTTTTTCCCGGAGTCCCCCCCCCCCCCCCCC